GAAAATGGTTAATTTCCCTTTTAATTTCTTCATTGATCCATTGGTTGTTCATGAGCGTATTGTTGAATTCCATGTATTTGTAAAGTTTCCAGTATTTCTCCTCTTACTGACTTTTAGTTTTACTTCATTATGTTCAGAAAAGATATCTAATATGATTTCATTTTTTAAAGCATTTTTTTAGAGCAAGCATGGTCTATCCTGGAGAATGTTCTGTGTGCCGTTGAGACCAAAGTGTATTCTGCAGTTGCTGGGTAGAATGTTATTTAAATGTCTGTGAGGTCTATTTGGTCTAGAGTATAGTTTAATTCCAATGTTTCTTTGTTAATTTTCTGTCTGAATGTCCATTGCTGAATGTGGGATATTGAGTCCCCCATTATTGTATTGCAGTTGACCTCTCACTCTAAGTATGTTAACATTTGTTTTGTATATCTAGGTGCTTTATTGTTGAGTCCATATAGATTTGCAATTGTTATATCCTCCTGCTCTATTGACTCCTTTATTTTTATATAATGGTCTTTCTGTGTCTTACTGTTTTTGGCTTAATGTCTATCTTGTCTGATGTAACTACTACTCTTTTTTGTTTCCATTTATGTGAAATATATTTTTCATCTTTTCACTTTTAGTCCATGTGTGTTGTTGTAGATGAAGTGAGTTTCTTGTAAGCACTGTATAGTTGGGTCATTGTTGGCTTTGTTTGTTTGTTTGTTTTTATCTATTCAACTACTATATGTCTTTTAATTGAATAATTTAGTGATTTTCAGTGTTATTATTGGTAGGTAAGGACTTACTAATGATATTTTATTACTTGTTTTCTGGTGTTTTTGAAAGTTCTTTCTTTCTCTCTTTGTAATTAAGTGCCTTTCTCTGATAGTATATTTTAATTACTTACTTTTTATATTTTGTGTATCTACTATAGGTTTTTGCTTCGACATCACCTTTGCAAAAGTAGAGCACTGACTCACACTGCCTCGTTACACATGGATGATATAAAAGTTTAGTTATCATCTCAAATTGGCTGATACCTTTATGATGAAAGTAAGATATTGGCTAATATTACCATATTATCTCATAGCGGGAGTGGAGGCTCACCTGGGACTCACTGACACCAAAGATGTAAGGAAAATTGAATACTACCTAGTCCTATCATTTTCCCATTTGCTTAGTTTCACTGACTGTGGATTGAGATAGAAGTTTAGCTACTCATCGTATTTTACTGACACTAGAGATGTAGGGAATCATAGTGCCAACTAGCCTTTGCTTGCTCTATTTTGTTCAATCTCATTACTGTCAGGTTGATACAAAGATGTGGAGGAAGCAGTGTAGCATAGCAATCATTAGAACTACTTCACACCACCAGATAAATATTGTGGGACAACACACCATTAGACTTTGCTAACACTATCCTGGCAGGGAAATCAGAGCACCACTTGCTTTTGCCAGGTGGAAAATAGACCAGCTCTCTGCTCAGCGTTATAAATATTAATCTTCCAGAGGAATCAGAACACTGCCTGTTTCTGCCAGAAGGGGCATGGAAGATCAACTCTCAACTTGGTACTGCCAACACTACTCTTTCAGGAGATTTGGAATGCCATCTACTTCCACTGGCAGTGGATGAAATATCAGTTCTCCACATCTGAGTTTGTTGACTGCCCTGTTCCCCACCACAAACCGTACTCTCTATTCCTTAGCATGACACATTCGGTGCTCTAATCACAAACTCTTGACCAGTTTGTCTCATATTCTATGCCTATGCATTTCTTTGTATTTTTTTCCAACTGTTTTCTGCTCAGTATGGAAGTAGCTCACTACTTTGACATTCTCTTAATATCTTTAAAAATATATTTAAGTAGTCTTTGATGATCTCCCTAGCTATAACAAATCATTGTCTCCTTTGGGCTTCTCAGTGCTTCATTTTAAACCTATTTTATAGCATGCATTATAATCTTTTTTGTATACTGTAATTAACAACATTTATACTTAAGTCCACCAACTGCCAGCTATAAATTATCACTGAATATCCAAAATTAATTTTCAATAATGTTTTATTTATCCAGAAGTCAGTCTTCTAGAAACTTCCAGCATTTGAAAGACTGCTCTGAAATTGGTCATAAGGGACAAATACTGTCATGGTCTCCTTGATTTATACTCAGACCCTGACTAAGAAGGCTTGAGTGTAAAATAAAAGAAAGAATCAGAGTTGGGACATGAACCAGGTAGTTTGTAAATAGGCCTGATAAGAGAAAAGAACTTGTTTCAGGAAATGACTAGTTAGGAGACTACTGATTACTTACCATATACCAGTTCATGTGCTAAGATATTTATGTGTATTTATTTAATTTAATCCTCCACCTACACTTTGAGGTAAGTTTTATTACTATGTACACATTGCATCTCCCTCTTGCTTCAATGTGTTCTCCTAAATATTTTCAGACTTATGGGCACGTGTATTCACAGGCTTAGTGATTTGGGTGTTTTGAATAGATAAAGCTGCCATGGGAGGTTCTAAGTTGCCAGAACTGCAGTCTTTAGAAGTTTATATAAGACTATCTGTTTCATTGGAGTGGATTTCTTTGCATTCCATCAGGGCAACTGAAAGCAATTATTTATTCATCTGAAAAGCATTTGTTGAGTACCTACTGTGTGTAAAGTATTTGGCATTTAAGTACCTTTTTGTATGAATTTATCATCTAGACATACAAAGTAAACATTATATAATAGTAACATTAAGTTATAATGTTAGTGAATAACCCAAATATCATAATTTTAGAGAAGAAAGGGTAGTAGAAATTACTTTTGTCTCCTTGGGCTGCTTTGTAGATTTGTAAGCAAGATTTTTTTTGAAGGATGTAACCAAAGGCCTGAGGAAATTATTTGTCTAGCATTTGTGTGCCCCGTGGGTGGTCTTTTTCTCTCATTTATCTGGTGTTCTTCTAAGCAAAAAGATCTTGGTGCATCTTAGTCTGATTTGGGGGACATTTGTGGAACATAATGGCATGATATTTATAAATACTTACCTCTGACTTTGAGTATAAACATGTAAGTTGTGTATATGTGTAAATCTGTATACACCATTATGTCATTCTGGAGTTTGGAAATAATCTTTCATGCACGTCATTTTCTCACTTCCCTGGAATTACTTTCTTGTGATGTAGTACTGCAGAATTACCCTATCTCTAAAGTCCTTGGCCTGGTAAACACGGGGAATTGAAGGATCCTTACATGTTCTGTGCAACCAACTATTAAACAATATAAGGACTAGATTTTTCTTTTACTGACTTGGAAGGTAATGAAAGGTTGAGATAGCCAGTTTCGCCACCTTTTAACTCTCACCTCTGACTTTCTGTTTCCATATTAATTAATTGCCTTTTTTATTTATGAAAACATGAGTCATTTTCTTTTCACCAGTGAAGGATGGTAAAGTGAGAATAAAGGGTCCAGGCTCCCTTGTAGTTTATTGCCATTGTCTAAGTGAGATATAGTGCTAAAAGTCTCCCATTCTTCTTTAGTCCTCGTAGCAGCCCTGTAACTTGAGGTAAGTTAAATCACGGACATTTTCTTTCTATCTTTTAGATTTTTCATCTAAGCAGGCAGTATTTTATGATTAGAAAAAAAACAAATATATACACACACTTGCTTTCTCTTTTTCTCTCTCTACAAAACTGGGGCCACAATTTTGTTTCAATATAATGCTTTTTTGAACATTGTTCTTATCTCATGTGCAGATCTCTATGTGATTAAATATTCTTCAAAAAGCATGTTTTAGGCAATAAGTAAATATATATGACAATAAAATAATTTTAATTTTATTATTTCTTTTTCTGCCATAGACCTTTTAGAATAAATAATGAACCATCAAAGGAATATTGCAAAGGAATAATATGGAACCATTAAAAATCATGTTTTCAGTGTATTTAATAACCTTAAAAATGCTCATGATATAAATGACAAAAACAAGCTATAAAATGTGTTCAGTTTTGTAAAATATAAGCATAGATTTATTAACGAGAAAGAATGCAACATTGTTAGCATTTTGGTGTAGTCTGGATGGCAAAATTAAGGTTAGTTTCATCATTTATTTCACTGAATTTTAGAAAATCTTCACAATGACAGTACCTGTCTTTTACATTCAGAAAAAAATTAAAGTATTACAAGAAATAATCAAGTAGAAAATATAAAGGAGAGTTAGGATCAAGATGGTGGACTGCGGACTGTACACAAGCGTTTTTCTTCTCTAGTCTCAAATCCCTTAAACTGAAAGAAAATATTCTGTATGTAAAAACTAGCACTCGCTTGCTCTCGCTCTCCTGCTTTCGGTGTGTTTTGAATATATAATATACACACACACACACACACACACACACACACACACACACATATATACATATGTGTGTGTGTATATATATATATATATATTTTTTTTTTTTTAAGGTTTTTGAGGAATTCTTAGAAGATAGAAAGCAGATGGAGCCGCTGTGGAGGAGGCTGGCGGGCAGCAGGCGAACAGAGAGGAGGAGGGGATTGGGCCTATCTGGTTGGAGTTTGAGAGAAACGGTCGCGGGGGAGGAGGGGAGGTGCACGAGGAAATGAAGGAGAGAGTCCCTGTGTCCGTGCAAACCTAACGCGGGCACGCACGCTGACCGGCCCTAGCGACTGCCCGCGGAGCGGAAGGCGGGATGGTGGGGGGCGGGGCCGAGTCGCAGGCGGGCTCAGAGGGGGCGGGTTCCAGAAGCGGCAAAAACCCAGGCGCCAGAGTGAATCCAAACTAGCTAGCGTTGCGAAGGTCTGGCCGCGGAGACTCTTCAGAGATTTGCCACTGCCTGCGTCTTTGCTACTATAGCCGTTCCTCTTATCTCTTGCCCACTTTTCCCGTCGTCTCTTTCTCTGTCGCCGTGCAGCAGCCGTAGCAGCATCGATAACAGCTAAGTGGTCGATTAGGGGACTTGGGGTCGGGAGTTAGGGCGGGCTTAAGGCGCGGACAGCACACGCGAGCCCGCCATCTCTTGCGGCAACCGGCACTGCTGCAGTCACTCCACCAGGGCGGGAGAGGAAAGCAGTGTGGAAAGGCACACACTGTCCCGGTGCCCACGGTCAGAGTTATAGCGTTTCTGCCAAGCCCTGGTGAGCGCCTTGCGCTTGGAGAAGGGAACAAACAGATCCGGTCTTTGAGACAGCGAAAAAGGATCTCATATTGTATAGTGTTGAATTTTTGTCAGCTTAATCAAGCAAGGCGGCAGCTTTGCCTAAGCCCCCTTAAACCTTGAGCCATGTCTCCTCCTACCGTGCCTCCGATGGGGGTAGATGGCGTGTCCGCATACCTGATGAAAAAAAGGCACACCCACAGGAAGCAGCGGCGCAAGCCCACTTTCCTCACTGGTAGGAACATCGTGGGCTGCCGCATTCAACACGGGTGGAAAGAAGGCAATGAGCCGGTGGAGCAATGGAAGGGCACTGTGCTCGAGCAGGTTTCCGTGAAACCCACTCTCTATATCATTAAATATGATGGCAAAGACAGCGTGTATGGACTAGAGCTGCACCGCGATAAGAGAGTTTTGGCGCTAGAGATCCTTCCTGAGAGAGTGCCAACTCCTCGCATCGATTCACGCCTGGCAGATTCCCTAATTGGCAAAGCAGTGGGGCATGTGTTTGAAAGCGAGCACGGTAAGAAGGATGAATGGAAAGGTATGGTCCTGGCGCGAGCCCCTGTGATGGATACTTGGTTTTACATCACCTACGAGAAAGATCCTGTTCTCTATATGTACACGCTGCTGGATGACTACAAAGACGGTGACCTGCGCATTATTCCAGATTCCAACTACTATTTCCCTACTGCAGAACGGGAGCCTGGAGAAGTGATCGACAGCCTCGTGGGCAAGCAGGTGGAGCACGCAAAAGACGATGGGTCCAAAAGAACCGGCATTTTCATACACCAAGTGGTGGCCAAACCATCTGTCTACTTCATTAAGTTTGATGATGATATTCACATTTATGTCTATGGTTTGGTGAAAACCCCCTAAATTCATTGTACTTTTTGCAAAAGTTGTGGAAATATTAGATGTAAATTATTTCGTGTTCTCATAATTGTGAACTTTGGGAACAATTTTGGTGTCAGAAATTCAGGAGAGTGGATAAATCTTACTGTGCCTCCAAATCTGATGTTAACCAGTTCCACAAATTTGCCTGAAGTGGACTTTGGTACTTTTTATATTGCATTGTTCTGTAATTGAGAATTTAAATTAGGTGCCAAGAGAAAATTTTCAAATGTTTGCAAGCATTGGAACAATGCAAAAATAGATTAAGAAAAATTGATGATGTAATCTTAGGCTAGTTCCTCCCCTCCCGTTCTTAACCTCACCCCATTCTTCTTCCCAGGTAACAAGTATTGAAAACATGGTGTATATCCTTTTACGTGTTCTCCCCATCTTTAGACAGAAAGTTTGTTGTAGTAGTTTCTGTAAAAATGACAAGTCACATACATTTCTTTGTGATTGTTTTCTCACTTGACATTTAAATAACATTTTTTTCTCTGATCCGTAGCTTCAGTCTTTCTCTCACTGGCTCTCATTCTTGCTTTTACTCTTTCACTCTCTGGCTTTCACTCTCTAGTACCCCCCCCCCCCCCCGCCACTGTCTTCTTTCTCGCTGTCCTCCCCTCCCTCTCTCTCTCCTTCCCTCTCTCTAACAGCTCTCCACAGTACATGTGGATGTACCAAAAAGGTATTCGATCATTTTGATATTGATGGTCATTTATTTCCTTTTTCGTTCACCTCACCATTGCTAATAATGCATACTGGTGCTTTTATTTCTATATGTTGCATTCCCAGAAATGCAAGGTAGGCATATGCTTAATGTTAAGAAATATTTTAAAAATTATCATCCAATATGAAAGTGCCCATTTCCAGCATCCTATTTAGCACCTTTAATTGCTTCAAAATATGAAAAGTAAAACATTATGCTATATTGCATGTCACTTTAATTGCCTTTTACCTTACTTCAAAAAGGTGGTTGTTATTGTTTCTACTATTTTGACTTTTTTCTTTTGTGTTTTGTCAATTCTTTTCTTTTGTAGATTTATCAATAGAATCATTTATTTTTGTCTTATAAATTTGTAGGAATTCTTACTATGTAGTGCATGTTTAATCATTTGCAGCTCTAATGTATTATGATTTTTAAAAATCATATCATTAATCTTAACTTTACTGATGATATATTTTACTTACTTTTATTTAAACTTTTTAAGTGGACCACTATCTCTTTTACAGCTCTTTAGTTTCCTGTCTTTTTCAGATAGATGCCCCGATCCCAATCATACAAATATTTTAATTATGCTTTTATTTTCTAATAAAAATCATTATGCTTTCTTTTAATGATGTTATTATTTTTAAAGTTAAAATGTTGGCTTCCTCTGAAATTCATTTTTGTATATGGTATAAGGTAGGGATATAACTATATTTTGTTCACATTGGATACTTGAGTATGACATTTATTTTTAAAGTTACCTGTTTTCAAATTCCTGAGCCAATATCACATAGTTTTAATTATTTGGAATCTGGTAAAGCAAGTCTCCCTTCATTAGTTGTTTAAAAATACAATTTCTCGTAGGCATTCTTTCATATGAAAAAGAAAGCATTTTTCCATACTTAAGATATCTTAATAAGAATTGTATTAAAATTCTGCATTTCTGCTTAGAGGATTATTTAATAATATCAATCCTTAATAATCAAGAGTTTTAGTACATCACCGAATTCTTTTGATCTTGTTTTTTGAATATTCTTCTTGTAAGTTCATCATAGCTAAATGAATTTATTTCTAAGTATTTTTATAGTTTTTGCCCTATTTTGACATTATGAATTGGATACTTTTAACTTGCTATTTTGGACAATATAGACAACTATACATTTTTGTACTTTTATCTTCTATCTTATGGGCTTATTTAATTCCCCAAATCGCAGTGGCTATATTAAAAAATAAAATATTTTGGGCTTTCTATATATACAATTATTTCACGTGCAAATAGAGATAATTTTATTTCTTCTAATGTTTATACTGATTATTATTACATTAGCTGTATTCTCCAAAACAATGTTGAATAAGATGGTGACTGACGTGCCTGTCTTGTTCCTGATGTTCATGGAAATATCTTTAGTAATTCCTATTAGTATGAAGTTTGTTATTAGTAAATAGTCATTCATGTGTTTAAGAGTTTCTTCTGTTCCTGTTTTATATAGTGTTATTACTAGAAGTGGTTCCTGGATTTTATCAAATGTTTTTGTAGCATCTATTGATAAAATCATGATTTTTTTCTTTTTAATTTGTTTATGTAATGAATTACAATGGTAGGCATTTGATGTTGAACCAAGCCTGTATTTCTGGAATAAATCCTACTTGGTTATGGTGAAATAATCACTTGCCACATTACTAGATTCTATTTACCAATATTTTATTTAGAATTATTGCATTTTCATTATAAAGTGAAATTGTATTTTGTCTCTCTAATGCTGTCTTTAAGTCTTGTTATTGAAGTTGTGCTAGATCTTAAAAATATGAATTGGTGCATTTTCAATCTTTTCCTGTCACTCGGCAATAGTTTAAATAAGATTAACATTATTTGCTCTTTAAAAGTTAGCTAGTACCAAGCTGTAGAGCAATCTAATACTGGTGACACTTTTGATAGTAGACTTTTAATCAACTTTATAATTTTCCAATGGTTATTGGTTAATTCAAACTTCTTATTAAAAAGGAATATATATTCTCTGTGAAATACAAAATTAAAAACTGTTTCTATTATCAAGCCTGTTGATTATACTGTTCAGATGCTTTATGTCTTTGTTTTATGTTAACTAGATCTGTCCAATTGTGAAAACAACATAATAAAATAATAAGCTATGATAGTGTTTTAAATTATTTTTGTATTATTTTATTTATAAAATAATAAAATATAGGATAGTATGAAAGATATGACAAACATTTGCTTACCTCCACCCCAAATTAACAAATGTCAAGACTGGCAAATTTGATTTAGATTGAGGTTTATATTTTTAAGCTGTCAGAATTTTCTAAATAATAAATCTCTTCAGTACCATCCCACTTCCTTTCTCTGTATAGGCAGACACTGTCATTAATTTGGTGTAGTTCTTGCCTGTGTTTTATATGTGTACTACAACTATAACCATAACCTATAATAGCAGTGATTTTTGTGTGTTTAAAACATTTCAGTATGAGTTGTAAATTTTAAGCCATATGGGATTTATTTTGATTTTTGTTGTAACGATCTATTTTTTTTTTCTAACTGGGAAATGGATTTCAACAACACAACCAATAGCTCTGACCTTAGAATGCTGGTTACTCTTCCAGGCACTTTTACTGCTCCTGACTCTCAAGGATGCTCGGCCCTAACCAGTACCCTGGGACTTAAATTAAAAGGACAAAAATCTTAGTGCTCTTGGAGCTTGCTTCTTGGCTATGGAGAAGGGCCATCACCCACACCTTACCTTTAGGCCAGAAACAAGTCTTAAGTGATATTATTAGGGTTGTCTCACATTCTGACACTCAGAGCCTAGCCCTAATCCTGACACTGTTTTACATGTTTAGGAAATAGGAGAGGACAAAAAAATTTTTATTTATTATACAACAGCAATCAAGATATAAAATATTGCCTCCTAGGTTCTGTTCTCATATTGGATCCCAAATCCTGAACCACACATATTGTTCTGTGATGACAGGGCTTGGAACTAGAACAGTGAACTATGACAAAATCCCTGCTGTCTTAGAGTATACATCCTAATAAGAAGGGCATTCATCACTACCCTTAAACCCCCAGTCCTTAGGCCTTATGTTGCCTCATAATGATTTTAGAATGTCCCACAACATGTCACTCAGAGCAAGATTTGACCCAAATTTTAACTCTGTTTTATAGATTGAGGATACAAGTGAGCTAGTAGAATGAAGATAGAAGACAAAATCAGTGTAAATTACTGATGCCTTTATTCTCTAACTTTCTGGGATCTTAATCTAGAACCAAGTTTCAGATTATCTCAGTGTAATAGTGTTGATAGCATACCAGTTTGCTTTGAGTCAATGGGATGCTTTCTCTTGTCCAGGCAGTGAACAAAATTTATAATCTCTATTGCCTTGGAGTTTGGATTCTGTTGAGAGGAGACAGACATCCCCTCCTCCACAAACCGCTAGTCTAAATTCAGGTATTTTGTTGCATGGTGATATTGGCATTCTCTGGTATCCTGGTAATGCATCAGAAGGAAACTTTGCAATGATTCTGACACTGTTTTAAGAAGGGTAAATGGCCAGAAATAAAGTTCTTGTTCCAACTGTGTTTACAATTTACATCATGATGGGCAAACAGAATCTCTTGTCTCTCTCCTCAGCACACTTTACAACAGACTGTGATGATTGCTTTGAAAAAACTGAAGCAGGAAACGTGAACAAAGAGAAAGGGTTGAATCTTGGGAGTGATATTTTACACAGAGGGACAGAGAAGGCATCCTAGAAAAGATAACATTTGAGTAGACACCTGGATAAAGTGAAGAAACAAATCATGTTGCTGATGCATTGAGATAAAATGTGCCTGAAGGCCTGGTTCAGTGGCTCTCGCCTGTAAACCTATCACTTTTGGAAGCTGAAACAGGAGGATTGCTTGGGTCCAGGACTTCAAAACAAGATTGGGAAACATAGACCTCAGTTCTACAAAAAATTTTTTTTAATTAAGTGAGCATGGTGGTGCACACCTGTAGTCCCAACTACTTGGAAAGCAGAGGATGAAGGACTGTCTGAGCCCAGGAAGTCAAGACTGTGGTGAATTGTGGTTGTGCTACTGCACTCCAGCCTGAGCAACAGAGTGAGACTCTGATTAAAAAAAAAATGCCTGGAAGTTTCTGGTAACAGTCTAGTGTGGCCAGATTAGAAGTAAACAAGGAGGAGAATGGTAGAGGATAAGATTAGAGAGTTATTTAGCAACCAGATTCTTATACAATCTTTTGGACTACTTTTAGAAATTTTGATTTTAATCTTAAGGAAATGAGAAGACAACAATTTTAAACATAAGCATGACAATTGCCCTTATATCACTCATTGAATAATCTGATTTGAAATGCATCTTTTATCAGCTAACAAAACTTCATTTGTGCTTGGTCTGATTTGTCCCTTTGGATCGTGTGTTTTCTTTCCTTTTGATATCCCGGGAGAGCCCACTACCTCTCATGTATTCATGCCCTGGCTTTGTCAGCTTGCTAACTCTGACTCTGCTTTATTTAGATAAGGACCTTGAAGGGAACTGAAGTCAAAATGAACATTTGAG